AGCACTGTCATCGTCATTCATCAGATGTAGCAGGAAACATATGTTGAGTACTCTGTGCCTGGCACTGTGCTAAATCCTTTATGCATTCTCTCACCGCCTCTGCATAACAATCCCTTGAGGTCATAATATTACATTCTATTAGGAAGTGGCAGAGCTAAGAACTGAAATCAGCAGTGTTGACTCCAAATTGTTTTAACCACTTTGTCTGATTTGCAGGGTGACATGGTCTGTAGAGGAAGTCAGCTGTAAGAGCCCCCATATAGCAACTCGCTAGGATAAACAACGTTACATGGCTTTGTATTCATTACGTAACTGAAACAGCCCTGAGTTATCTGAGTTTTCCCAAATAAACAATTCCAATTTCCTTTATTGGTCTGGGCAGAACTTTTTAATCTCAGAGTAAGGCCATACACACCCTCTCTCCAAGGAAAACATTACAGAGTGAAGTATTTGTTTTCCTCTATTTCACAAATGTGGAATATTTCAATGGTTATTTCTAAAGAGTAATATTTTGGGAAATTAATCGAAAAATTTGCACCGGTTTTAGAAAAGGAACTTAAGATGCATATAATGGTAAAAGTTACATTATTTGAAAATGAATCCATTTAATTTTTTTTAATTGTGTACGCAGATGTAATTATATAGCTATCATATATTGAGCATTTATTACAGGCCAGAGACTGTGCTGAACACTTAAAAGCATTATCTAATTTCATTCTTAATCGCCTCAGTATTAATAAACCTATTTTACAAATGAGGAAAATGAAATTTTTTTGAGAGGTTTAATTACCTGAGGTCATACAGCCATTAAATTATATAGCTAGGAATAAAACTCAGATCTGACTGACTCCCAATTATGTCCTAAACACCTCTCAATGCATTGTTACAGATTTAGATCACTACAAAGTATACAGAGGAGTTTCGTAACTTAACTCAATAGCAACTTGAACGACAGTTTTATCTAATTACCTTTATTTACACATTGTTGGAATATTGAGAAATCATTACTTTCCATAAGACTGACCCCCGCCTGTCACCCCACCAAAATGTACTCACAACAAACTCTATGAAAGTAACATTCTTTCTTGATTCCCAGCATCAACTAATGGGTAGGTAGGGCTGGTGGAAAGAGAAAGTTAGTATGGTTTATTTTATGGTAACGAACTAAGGAGCCCATGCATTATGTCATCTTCCTTGAGGAAGTTTAGAAAATTTAACATTAAAGTTCAGATTTCTATTTTCCAAAAAAGAAAGCTACCTGTGCAGGACAAAATGTTTTGTTCCATGGCGGATGATCTGGGAAAGCAAAAGGACTGGTGCTTTGTTCTGTGGCCTTCTAGGATTGAGAAAAACTCTTGGGATTAGGATGGGAGGGGTCCTGGTAGAGCCCAGAGAGAGGGGACTGCACAGGCATTCACTGGGCTGGGCCCCACGGGCGGAAGCCATGCTGGAATCCAATGGCAGCTTGTTAGTCTTTGGTGGCTGGGATGCAGACAAAGCTGCAGTGACTGCCAGCAAAGCCAGAGGTGCAGGCCTGCTGGCCCATTCTATGTGTGGTGTGACCACCCTGCCTGCTGGGGGCTGGGGATGCAGGCCCACAGCGGGCGGGAGTAGGCGTGCAAAGGTCCAGGTCTCCTTCACTGTAAATGAAGGTGTGAGGATTATGAAAAATAATCTATAAAAGGCAGCTTCCCAAGGCTAAAGCTGTCTGTAGACAAAGGCAGAAGAGCTCAGAAAAGGGATAATTACTAATAGATCACCAGCAACTCTCTAGTTTCACGGACGGAGCACTGGGCGAAGAGAGCAAGGGCTGGACACAGTGAGGACCAGCAATGGTAAATCTCTGTTCTCACAGTGGAAATTATATCAAATTTGTGTCTATTTGGTGACATCTACTACGAGACAGCTGTGGTATTGCAAAAAGACCCCTGGATGTGGCTTCGTGACTTCAGAAGAGTCATGCCACTTTACCAGTCCTTAATCTTCTTTTATGTAGAAAGAAGAGGAGGTTTGAGTAAGTTATCCCTTCCAGCTTGAAAAATCCAATAGTTCCATAATAAAGTTATCTGAATCCATGCCTAATATACTTAAGAGCTAAAATTCCAATAAACATAAACCTGAGGCCTTATCTTTTCCCAAGCCAAGTGTCTAGCAGGTTAAACAGTAATTTTCTCCCTGTCACCTAGGTTCTCTTCCCAAGGGCTTCTGTGCCAAAGTTGAATTCTGGGTTTCTCCTTTCCTCTGTCAATTCAGATGAGCCCTGTGGATGAGGTAGAAATCAGTGCCATCACCAGGAAATACACTGCTGTTTCAGGGGAAATTAATTAGCAAGCCCAGAGAAGAAGACTTTGTTTTAAAAATTCTGTCACTTTAGAAAAAGAGGGTGGCAAATCCAGCCTCAGACACAGAGGTCCAATTGTCTCTTCAGTTTGTACTGCTATACCCAGTGTCTGACACAGAGTGCCCACTGCCTGGAATGCCTGGAGAGATGACCAAATCATATTGCCTCTTGCTACCACATCATCTTATATTTAGAGTATGATAACATAGCCTCTCCCCACTCAGAAAAGGAAATAAAGACTGAACACACTGTTAGGACTTAATATTGAGAATGGAAAGAAGAATACTTACATAAGAAAAAGAAATTTTAATCAAGAGTTTTTTCCAAACTTTATTCTTTTTGCTCAGTTAGGATATCCACTTTTGTTAACAGATGAGCAAAGTTTATTATAAACAAGAAAAAAAAAAATGGTTTAAAAGGTCACAGGATCATGGGCTTACTGTCTGTCATTGGGGTCACCCAGACTTACTGTAATAAATCAGGCTATTAGAGCTGGTTTGATTACTCCCTAGTTTTGTCATTTAACTAAATCTCACTGGACCCATGAGGAAAGTCGTTGCCTTCTGGACTCACTCAAGCACAAAAGCACCCCTGATAGCTGTAAGCAGACCAGCTTTCCTTCTTTGTTTAAACATTCTTGCATTTACTTTTTGTCTGCAGAATTTCAGCCATTTTGGACCTTCATATCCTGGCTAGATTTCCAGTCTCATCACAGGCCATATCTCTTCTTTCCTATCCCAATTGCCAACTCTGTGCTCAAGATGCTATGATTGACAGGGCTTACTCCTCACCTGTATTGTCCATACCATTACCTACTCCTCACCTGTATTGTCCATATCATTAGCCATAAACTGGCCTTTTACCTAAACCCAGGGCACAGTTAAAAAGATACCTCTTCAAAAACCCAGAAGCCTTCTAGGATCTGGAAATGGATAGCTTCCAGCACCACAGATAATACTTTAATGAGTCAGGAAGAAATAGAAATTCATGAGTGGCCCTGGAAAGCTGCTTAGCAGCTCAGCTGAGAAGAGTAATGTATAGTTTTATGGAAGAAGTGTGAGAATTAAAGGGGTGAAAAGATGGGGTGAAAACTGAGTCATCCGTGTTTGTGACTTTGTTCAAATATTTTTGCTTTTCTGGTCCCGCTCCCCACCCACCACCATTCCTGTCACACAACACAACTCAGCACTTCATCGGGGAACAGCATGTGGAACTGTGATCCCCCAGCTCGTTGGTCACCACACGGTGGTTTTCAAAGACGAGAAACCTCTACCTACCGGAGTTTTTGTCAGGCAGTCGGTTTATCCTCCACACAATTGAGTTGAAGGCATGTTCGTACTTGGCAGTTCCCAGAGTTACTCTCATGACAGGCTCAGAGCCAGATACACTAGTTGAACCAAAACTGGCCCCCCGGTTCACTTTGGCTTTCAAAGACTTTTCCCCCAGGACACTTTCCCTGCGGAAGTTTTTCACCCACTCGCTGGGCACAGGGTAGCGGACCATCACATTCTCACAGGGAACCTGAGTGAGGGGCTCACAGTTAGAGGAGAAGCCGGTTGACATCCTGAGCCAGCTCTGCACCTCCACCTCTGCCCCATTGATGCTTGCTGCTGTCCTAAGCGTGAAAGGCAAAGTCTTCTCAGCAAATACTGTCCTGAACCGCATTAGCTCAAAGCGGCACGCATCCAAAGGGTTGAACAGAATAACCCGTGAGTTGTTGAATACATCCTCGTCCACACACCCGTGAAAACGGCACTCGTGTAGCTTGATCCACTTTGTGGTGGTGGTCGGCACGATGTCTTGCCGGGAGACTATTTCGTTCCCTTTGATGAGGACGTCATTCAGGCCCAAGCGGCACTCTGCAAGCCCAGAGAGGAAACTCAGAATGTGGATCCGTGTCAGGACATGGTGCTGGAGAATCTGGTTGTCTCCTTTGCTCACAATGCCAGAGAATTCATCTCTGACATCCACTGTAATCTCCTCCTCAAGGTAGTTCAAGCCTACTGTGCTCAAGTCCATTGATAACACAGGCAGATCCATGAGACGATCCTGAACTGCACGGATGAAGCTCAGGAAGTCATCGTAATTGGTGGTGCCCAGCTTAATCACTTGTTCCCTCTCTGCTGTGTGGGCAACAGCAGGTTTGGGCTGATACTTCTTCTTTTCCTTGTAGGTGACACGGTCTATCCGCAAGCTGTGGATCCTGCCATTGTCATCATAGTTTTGGAGTCGGGGTTCTGAAATCTCATGGCAGATCTCTAGCTTGAACTCACGGAATGGTTTTTCTAGGCCCTGCTCATAATACAGCTGCAGGTAACCACTGTCCGTCAGTTTGATGTAGATGGGTCCCCAGTGCCTAGAGGACATGATGTTTTTCTTCTCAGGGATCCTTAGCATCATTGGCCACCCATCCCTGGGCTGGGACAGTGCTGAACCAGGAGGGTGGTCATCTAGTTCAATCCAACCTACTGGGTCATCATCAGCTAGTGTTACATTGCCTAAGTGATCAGGGTCATCAATTTGGAGTTGTTTGAGTTTTTCAACAGCATCAGAGTGTGACAGGTTTTTGCTTGAGTCATCAAAACTGATGGCATCCTGGTAGATGACAACGAGAGAATCTCTTTGGCTTTTGCCTGTGGTACTGGAAACGGAATTGTTTTGGGAGCGCCTTTCCTGCTCCTCAAAGAAAGCACTAAAAGGGTTGATAGGGGAGGGCTGTACATCCTGTAGAGTCTCATTCAGGAAAGGATTGGTTGCCCTCCAGGGTGGAGCCTCAGTTATAGAAGGTGGATGGTTTAAGGAGGAAACGTTCAGCTTCTGAACTTTGGAGAAGTTCATCAACGTGCTCTTGGGACGTTCCCTCTTCTTAAATGACTCAGTTGAATTATAAGGTACATCTGGGATCACAGATGCAACAGTTGGTGTGTTCGACTTCAGAGGAGAGGTGATGGGTGGCAAAGAGCACCTGACTTCATTGTCATCAAAAGTGACCCAGCTGGGGAAACGAGCAGAAGTTACTGGAGTGGCAGGGTGTCCGTTCATGGCTGTACTGCTGGCCTGCCAGCTGATGGCCTCCATCTCTACCTCTTCATCTTCCTGGAGTGAGGAAGAATTGTCTAAAAGGAAAAGAATAACATATGAGGGCTGCTACTCAGGACCTCTAGTGGTGTGGAAAACTGAGGTATGGGAATGAGGAATGACCAAAATTTTATTTAGAATCCGGTAAATTCTAAAGAAGTTCACTACCTGTCTCAAGTGCTTAGTCTGGGCACAGATCTCATAATTTTGTAATAAACACACTTATTACACATCAAATACAGTAAGAATGCAAATGAATCGATTGATATACAAGCACTGGTAGGACCACAGTCCCTTGCAATTTAACTCTTATACATTCTCCCTTTATTTCATAGATGTTACTGGAATAGATGGTTTTCTTTGCTCAAAGAATGCATTTTTAATTTTTAACCATTGAAAACCACTTCCTACATAAAATAATAATAAAGCTGATCTCACTGAATAAAATAAGTTATCTTCTCTAAGTAATAATATGATTGCAAATAATGTAATTGGAGCGATTTTTGCCCAAATGTGATCAATACAAAGACAAAATGTTAACATCCTTAATATGAAATAAGTTCATACACATGAATAAGAAAAATATAAAAATTCCAACAGAAATACAGGCAAAGGACATATTTGGGAACTCAGGAAAAAAAATTAAAAGTGTCTCATAAGCATATGAAAAATGTCCAATCTCACTAGTAATAAGAAAAAGGCAAATTAAAAAAAAAAAAGTGAAGATTTAAAATTTTTAGTTTTCAATAAGGGTAAGGGTGCTACGATATGAACAATAAAGAGAACTTTAATGGGACTGTAAGTTGCTATAAACTCTCTGAAAGTGGTTTGGTAATTTGTATTAAGGGTCTTACAAATATTCATAAACAATGACTTAAGGAAATAAATCCAAATTGTGAACCGAATTTGGGTCAATGTTAAGAAATTGAGACACACAATGGAATAATATCCACCCATTAAAATGTTTACAAGTGTGTGGTAACTTGAGAAAACATTCATGACATAATCTCTTCTATCTTCTCTAAAATACTTTGCTATCTTGAGTTTTAAGGGTGGAAAAAAAAAAGGTATTATAAATAAAACTCCACCATAGCAGGGCATTCAAGGAAGGAGATACAGGACTTGACTTTCCAAGTGGGAAAGATCCAAGCCTTTTCAGTAGCATAAAGACCCTGTGTGTCTGCTGGGGCTGTGGGGAGGAAGGAGGAAATGAGGCCATTAGTAAGGAGGAGTGGCTTCTGATGAAGAAATAGCACAGAAAACAAATATGTGTTTGGCATATAGTAGATACTCAGCGAAGATTTGTTGACTGAATGAGTGAGAACAGAAACTTTGCTGTGAGGCAGTTCTATTCTGTCTGTCCCTGGAAGAATGTGTATGGGGATATCAGCCACCATTCCATCCGTTTCTACCGCCAGGATTTGGAGTCAAAGAAACAGGGATAGTCAAATGGTTGAGCTTTCCAACTGCCTCGCTAAACCTTCGTGAATATTACAACTAATCATACCAAATCCACACATGATTGCAAATGTAATTACACATGGATGGGCTGGCCGGCTTGCCATTCATCTCTCCGAGCATTTTTACTCAAACCAATAGCAAATTCCCTCTACTAAAAACGTCAGTTTTGAAAATGTAGGCTAAGTACTTGAACATGCATATATACATATCCACAGTCACCTCAGAAATATAATGAGCAAAAGATATTTTCTATACGTACAGCACCACAAAAGGATTTCAAAGCATTTTAAAACTAACAATGTCATTATCATTCAAATTAATCGTTAATCCATTTTTATAGATGCCTAAGTGACATTTTCTGGATAATGAAGGAGAAAGGGTCAGGAAACGATCCTTGTTTGTAGGATTTATATTTTATTTACTACTACTACTACTACTACTACTACTACTACTACTATTACTCTTACTACTACTACTACTGTCTTATTATTGTTGTTGCTGTTGTTAGGGCTAAAGGGAACATGTTACTATTATTATTATTAAGGCTAATGGGAACAGTGTGGCCCTGAGTAAAATACAATCACTTCCTTGGAACAGTAACTGATCCTCCCTAAAGAACTGGGAAAGGGTGCATCTTAAATGCATCAATTTCTAATGAAGCAGCTCTACAGTTTTTGTAATGTAGCCTTTCCACCCAAACCGTCTGGTATTGACCCACCCATCCCTTGTATCAGGGGCATCCTTTTTGCCTTGGAGCTCATCACCACTCCCTAGTTCAAAACAAGCTTCCTCTGGAGGTGGCCTTCTGCCAAAACTGCCAAAGGATTCCCTTCTGTTGGGAATCTGGCCCTCAAAATAGCATTTCTGATCTTGCTCTCCCAAGCCAAAAAAGAAGGGGGGAAAAAAGGGACTCTGTCTCCACTGAAGATAATTTTCTTACAATAAATTTCTTTTTAAATCAAGTTACTTAAAATCACACCAAGTCCTAGATCATTTCAAAGCATTAGACTCATAATACGATTTAAACAAAGTATCCTTATATTTAGAGGGAAATTTTTATAATTAATTTCTCGAGATTCTATATATTTTTTTGACAGTCATTAAATTATATGAAGTGACTTTGTTACAAAATTTTCTCTCCATTGGAAGTTTCATTTCTCATGATTACAACCTGTTTTAAAACTCATCCTTTGAGATGGTAGTGTTTATAGATCATATCTCTGAAAATGAAAATTTGTTTTTCTACAAAGTCACTTATAAAGAAAAATTATCTTAATAAAGACACTTTACAAATAAAAAGCAAAAGTAGTCGATAGTTCACATGAAAATAAAGAATTTCTTGAGGTGAACCCAAGGACTACAGAATACTACTTTAAAAAATTATTCTTTATTAATAGTGACTTTCTTATTTGTGAGCACGTAATTTTGCTTCATTTATAATTGACTGAAAAACATCTTTGCTAGTTTTTACAAAGGTTAGGTCATATATTTTTTTAGCCTCTTTTTATTAAAGGTGGTTTTTGAGACTCACATATAAACAAGAAACTTATCTGCATGTAAAATTTCTGGGGAAATTATTTGCATCACAAATGACAAAAACTTAATGTCCTGAATATATAATGATGGTGTATCCTTAATAAAAATGGATAAACTCTCACGAAAAAATAGGATGATAACAGACAATTCACAAATGAACAAATATAAATGTCTAATAATTATTTGGAAAAAAGAGTTTAACCTTACAAAACAATAAATAAATTCTCCCTGGGTCACAGAGACAAAGACTTAGAAAGAATAATAATTATTATTGGTGACATGGGAAAATTTATACTCTGATGGAGGTGTTAAGAAATCTTTCTGGAAGACAATTTGAAAATGTGTATAAAAGACTCAAAAGAATTCTACTTTTAGGTGTTTATCCTAAGGAAAGAACAAGATAGGCATACAATGACATACAGAGTGGTATGCTTATCATAGCAATGTTTTATCATAGAAAAATTGGAAATGACCTAAATGCCCGATAATGGGAGATTGGTTATATCAATTGTTACATTCTGAAATGGAATCGCACGCAGCTCTGAAGACAATGCCATTGATGCATGTTTAGTCACATGAAAGCTGATCATGATATATATTGTTGAGTGAATAACATCAAGAGCCTACAATTTGGGGTCACATTGCCTGGATTTCCATTCTGTATCCACAGCTCATTAGCTATGTGACTTTGGGCAAGTTGTTTAATTTCTCTGCATCTCAGTTTTTTCATCTATATAATTAGAAAAGTATTAAATCTTACCCAACAAGATTGCTGGCAAAATGTAATACAGATGTTAGCAGAATTGTGCCTGGCAAATAATAAATGTTCAGTAGATCGTAGCAGTTATTACCACTTCTGCTATTACTACTACTACTAGAAGGATACATTTTCATGACATAAAATATATATGTTTTAAAAAGCTTTAGAATATAATATTTCACATTTTTATGTAAAATCAAATGTCTCATGTGGGATAAGAAGTGATTTAAAAAACTTTAAGTCTGTGTTCCTTCTTTAAAAACTGTTGTATTGCTTACAAAATAATACAAGATGAAAACATATCTTTATTACTCCTTCTAATTAACTTTAGAGAAAGAAAACTACAGCTTAGCTGGAATTCACATTGATAAAGCAGCAGTTAGGTCTTTCTTAAGACGCTTATGACTGGTGTGGCAGATCCCAGAAATGGCGGGGTGGAGGGGAGAGATGGGCAAATTTCTCCAGTAATAAATAGGCAAAAACTCATTATCTTCAGAATGAAATTAACTCTCACTCACGATTCCATTTTATTGACTTATTAAAATAAAACCAAAACCAGAAATTCAGCATTATTTTCATAACTCTCCCTTCCACCTGCTACCTCCAAATTGCTTTTATTATGTTGGGCTGCTGCCGAATGAAAGTCATGCATAAAGATTAGGCCATCCTACCATACCAAAGGGAGGACTTGGAGTGCCTGTGAGCCTCCTAGGTAGTGTCCTTACTGAGGCCATCTAAAGAGAAACGGTGGATTCTTCTAATGCTAAACCACAATCTATTTTAAGTTCTTGAAAGATTAAGTAATGACTGCAACGGTAATCAAAGCCACCAAACTGAAGAAAAAGTAAGATCCTGGAGGGAAAAATTAAGAGTCTCTATATTCTGAATACAGCAGATACTCTGCCATCTTCTTTCCCCATTTGTTAATCTAATTTGTTAATGACAAATGCAAAAAACTTATTGCAGCTGTTTATTCAAATTTATTAGCAGTGGTAAGAACAAATACTCTTAGATCGGTTTTCTCAACATGAGATAGCAGTCACTGTTATACAAGAAGATATACTTAAAACTATATAACCAGCCACAGATGCACAGTAGGCACTTAAATATTTGTAGAAGGATCTGTAGAGTGAAAAGAGAAACACAGATCACTGAATTTGGGGGCTTGAAGAGATTGTAGAAATAATAAAACTTGGTCCCTTCATTTTGCTGAGAAAACTGAGGCTCAGTGAGTTTAAGTAAACTGCCCAAGATGAGATTAAAATTCAAGTCCTGCTTTTA